GGGAGGAGGTTGTTCCGGGAAAAAGTTTTTTAGATAGGGGCCCCTAAAAAAAATTTGCCCCGGGCCCCCGCCAAGCCCCTAAAAAAAATTTGCCCCGGGCCCCCGCCAACCTCTCGGCAGCCCTGAGCTTAGTTACTTATTGTACTTCTTGTTTGTACTTAATTTAAACTTACTTTAAGGCTCTATTAATTAATAGAATTTCACTTATGAATAACTATAAATTAGTATAAGTAAAGTTATAAAATTAGAATCAGATGAAAGTAGTCAGCAAAATTCAGGTTCAGAGTTTGCAAATGACGGCTATACAATAGCATTAGAGCTCTTTCATTAAAAAAAAACTTTCAGCATGTTTTGCTATGTAAATTGGAAGGTGCGAACCGCTAAATTTGTATTCTTGAAGAAAGTATAATGTCAATCGTCACTAATAACAATAAAAAAACAAATGGCAGATCTATTTATAACTTTTATCAAAAAGTTTTACTCGTCACTCGCAGGCCGCGTGCTTTCTATTGCGATGGCCTTCGCTCTCCAGATGCCAATTGACTGTGTGCTTGCTCACAAAGCTTGTTCCCTCAATATATGATTTGACAGACTTCTTAACAGGCTCTTTGCAGTTTGGATGCTGAAATAAAGCATTTTCATTGCGCTGACAAAAGTTTGCACTAAACAAAATTAACACACGCATTGCCCATCGTTGATCGTCTTCTAGCCAATAACACCATTTTCCCCCACTTCATAAAAGTTGCCAAGATCCACTTTATTGCCTTTGGTGGCCATCTTCAATTATAAACACCCTAACTTTGAAAGAATACCGATAATATTGCGCTCTCTGTTAAATAATGTAAAGTTCTAAACTGTCAAATGAAATTTGGTTTTGTTACATGATATCTTAATTCACCGCGTGTCAACATTGTAATGCGCGATTATCCTTAAAAATCAAATTTGCGTGCGCGATAAATCGCGCGCCCAGATTCACGTGGGCGCGTGTGGGCGCGCGCTGGCGCGATCACGCGCCCCCAAAGGAAAGCCCTGTTTCACGAATCACGAACTGTTATTTCAAACTCTGCATTAGACAAGTGAAATAAAGTATGGAGCATCAGAATGCATTGCCTCTTAGATGGTTAACAAGATGTATTCGTAAATAATCTGATTACCCATTGAGTGGCAGCTAGCACTCTCACACTGACACACACATCTGAAATAAGCCAGGGTACAGAATATGTATACGAATTCAAGTATTTTCCCGATTTTTTTTCTTCGTTTTTTCGTTTTTTTGTCAAAAGAAAAATCAATTGAATCGTTTTTTTAAAAAAATGCGCCCAGACAGGGATTTTTGTCAGGCCCTCCATCCATCCGTATTAAAGGTAGGAAAATCAGGACCTGATACAAATCTCCAACATACATAAAACAGATGACAATACCTACCTTATCTAAATTTTCATAAAATTGTCTTGCTTCTGAACTTAGATACGACATATCGTCACCAGCTTCGATAGAAACCAACGTTTGAATAATCAATGTCACTTTCTTGAGGTTAAAATTTGCAACTCTCGACGCACGTATCTCTGTGTCGATTATAAATGGCTGCGGACGCGACAACAACGGTACAATGACCTGATTGATAAAAAACCGCATCACCAATTGCCGAGCTTTCCCGTCGTTAAAACCTCGTTTTAACGAAGATTTGTAAAAACACGAAACAATCCAAATTAGCGAATCTGGTAAGCAAACCAGACTGCTGTTTATCTTTTTAAATAAAGCATACACAGTGTCGGCAAGCGCGACCCAGCACCGCATCATGTGATCCTTGATCCGTTCTGTGGTGCCCGGACTACCCGGTTCACCAAACCTTTTGCGGACTTCTTGAACATCCATGACGGACAGCAACTCTTGTTCTTCTAACGTCCAATACAGCGAGCCATCAAGCAGGATATCAAAAACAACCTCTCGGCAGGCTAACACCAGGAACGCCCGGCACGGCAAAGATGTGTGAAACAACACGTCCAGTATATTCGCAAACGAGTTGCCATCTTTGGAGAATATTGTTAGCGGCTTCTCAGAATAGACCAAGTGGTATTGGATGATACCTTTCACAATCGTCAACACAGATTTTTCGTCAACCGGAAATAGACATGAGCCATAGAGTGAAGTAATTATTGTCCTCAAGAACGCGGAAGTGTCTATGTTGTATTTATCAGCCAAAATTAAAATAGACTTCAAAATCTCAGTATTTTCTCTTAAATCTCGCAAAAAGTTACCATATTTTACTTCTTTGAATCCGACTGTGGCGTAGCCGTCTTGAAACTGTATAGAATCGAGCAGACTCGACGTGTAAGCACATTCAGAAGCGAATTTCGGGCCACCCCTTAGTCGGTTCAAATTTCGCCATTGCTGGCCGGCTATCCATAGCCCTCGCAAAAGAGAGTCACCAGTGGAGACTATAGTGTTGTAATCTTTCTGTAGATCGCGTTTTTGTTTGTTCACAAAAGCGTATTCGTCCCTAAGGTGCAGTCTTAAGGCAGAAATATCTATCTCACCTTCCTCTCTGTCGGCCATTTTGCATGACGGCGCCAAAAAGAAATTGAGAATGATTTTTGGATTTTTCTTTTCTAAATGACGTCATGAACGTCATGGTTAGACTTTCCAAAGTCCTTTCCAGGCCCTTCTATGGCGCGCTTCACTCCTCTGGGTGAAGGCTATTTCAGATACGGTAGAGCACCTAGTCCCCAGGCCTTTACCAGCGCGACCGCGAAATTCAATATGGCGCCATGCTAAGGAGTGGAGTTTAAATGGAGTTTATATTCTATAATTTCTATTGTTGTTTTTTCATCTTTTTATTCTTTTTGGTTGGTAGAACTTATATTCTGAAATGCCAGGTATCTTACTCTTTATCTGAAAAAAGATTTTATGGCAGAATTTTTCTCAAACATAGTTAAGGTTAATGTAAGTCTTATCTACTGAGTTGTTCATTTTTAAATGAATTGTTAAAACAATTAAATCAATTTAGACTATTTTACTCAAGTTGGCAAGCTACGATTAAATAATTACTTGGCTTGATGAAGATGATATTATTTAAGCAGGATAATACATGCCAATGTAGTCACAATGCATTGACAGCATTCTAATAGGTTGATTATTAGCAGTTTTAAAAAGTTAAACTGCCAGACGTACGATATTTTATCATATAATTGATATAAATTATAAAAAGTAAAGTGCTATAACTGAATAGTGGAACAATATTGCTTCCATTTTGACCACCACACTCACAATTACCTTATGAATGTAAGAATGCCATGTTCACATTGTGAAAAAATATTATGATTCTGGCAAACATACCAATTAACATGGGCAAATTTGTTTAAACAACGTACACTGCAACAAATCATGATACAGACAAGCACATTCTGTATAAGATGTGTAACAAACATTATTCAACATCAAACAATTTAGTTATTGTCACATAAAAGAACACATAATAGAGTAAAACCTTATATGAATATCATATCTGTAAAGAATTCAGACATTCAAGTACTTCAGCAAGACATAAAAGAACACATAGTGGAGACAAACTTTATGATCAATCTCATGTTTGTCATTAACCAGGGATGGATCCAGCATGATCTGGTAGGGGGGGGGGGGTGCTCTACCAGCTCTCAGGTGCCGAGTTGTGTCCGTCATGTGTGCCGCCCACCCATCAACCTGCTTCACTACTGCAAAATCTTGCTTGACTACTGTATTTGAATTGTAATTGTTGTTCACAGTTCGCTTATCATCATGTTATTACTCAAATTACTGTATCTTAATGTGCCTCTAATAATTTTTTGCTTTATCATGAAAAATAGCACCCCCTCTGGTCAGGGCTAGGGGGGGGGGGTGCACCCCCACCCCCCAGTAAATCCATCCCTGTCATTAACAGTAGAGTGCAATTTGAACTAAGCCATCCCCTTTAAACTGTGTTTCTTTAGTTGGGAGAGGAGTTCTAAGGCCCTTCATAATTTTTGAAGATTACATTACATAATACAATATTAATTTTTCTCATTGCAAACAGTAAGCTACAAATGAGCTTTGTATTCCATAGAATGCAAAGTATTTAACTATTTCTAGGTAAAGTTAGATTTTAAGTTGTTTTTAAGAAGTTAAAGCTGATCACATAATCAATCTATTTTTTGGGTCAAGGATATACCCTGCAAAAATAGCACTTTCCGTTTATTTTACAACTTGAAATTCACATTCTATTAGACACTAGAGGCATATGCCAATGGGTACTCATTTCCCAGAATCTTAATTATGGGTATTTAAGGATGAAGTCTCAGTGCTCCCCGTGAAGGGCCCCCTTGACCCAGGGCTGTCCTCAGGGAATTCTTCAGGGGGGTGTAAGGTCATTTCAACCGATTGACGAACAGGGCCGCCGAGAGGTTGACAGGAGCCCAGACGAGAATTTTTTTTCAGAGACCAACAGCCTCCCCCCTCCTCCCCCCCTCCACGTTGCAAATGCTTTCCAGTGACTTTACCTCAATTTTTCATACCAAAATTCGGAAATTTACCCAAAAAACACAAATAAAGAGCCCTTTGCACGAAAATATTTAACCCAAATAGCAGTCCTGCCAACTGAATACAATTTCTGGGGGTGTCACACACCCCCCACCCCCGTATCTCCGGCCCTACCTTGACCTACTGTTCAGAGTGTTAACGGGGAGAGCTTTTAAGCTAAAAAAATTTTTAAAAATATTAATGAATTAAATAAATAATTAAATAATATTAATCAATAATTATTATTATTATTTATTATTAATTTATTTATAATAATTATTATTAATTTAATTAATTAATTATTAATTTAATTTATTAATTAAATTAATTATTTAAATTAAAATTTCCAAACACCGCATAAAGGTAGCCCAGGGACCTTCCTTGACAATTAGGCACACCCCCTGGGCCCCTAGCTTCTGCCGGGCACAGCCCTTAGGAGTTATGCCACTGAGGAGTGAACATCTGACCATTATTCTAACCGGCTTGCTGTACTACTTTCTATTTACTTGAGCATAAAATATCATAGTAGAACAGCTAATTCAATCATAAAATTTTGAGTTCATAAACCATGATATGCAGGGCAAAGGTACAGAAACGTCTAGTGGCAAGGGTTGACCGGAGGGTGGGTACAATTGCATCTGACTGATTTCCCAACGAGTATGGAATACTCAGGGTTACCAAGTTAATTGGTCTTGTGGAATTTTATGTGTATTATGTCTATAATGCCAATGGAGAAAGTGCATTACCACTTGCAATCTACAGCACTGATTTATTTTTCACAATTCTGCAAACTATTAATGGCAGCTGGCAATGTCACATGTAACACAAGGCCGTCAGAAGTGGGGGGCTTGAGCCCCCCCCTACTAAAATTTCCATTTGTATAAGCAAAACACACAAAATAACTAGAAAAGTGCAAAAGCAATTAAAATTTATTCAGATATATTCTTGAGTCCCCCCAATATTGATTTACTTCCGATGGCCTTGTAACATCCTGCCCAGATTTTTTTTAATTCAATAAGGCCCCCCTTTTGATTTTTACACTCCCCTGTTGGCCAAGGGTGTGTACCTCTGTCAACCCCCTCCCCTCCCCCTCTAAATCCAACTGTATGCTGGGCTGGATTTACTGGGGGGGGTGCACCCCCCCTAGCCCTGGTCAGGGGGAGTGGTATTTTTCATGATAAAGCAAAAAAAAATATTTTAGAGACAAAATGAGATACAGTAATTTGAGTGATATCGATAACATGATAAGAAGCGAACTGTGAACAACAATTACAATTCAAATACAGTAGTCAAGCAAGACTTGACTTGTAAGTGGATGGGCGGGTGGCATGCATGACAAACATAACTCGACATTA